AAGCCACTTTACACTCAGATTTCTCACCTGTGCAAAGATTTAGGGCATTTCCAGTATTCTTCTATTCCACAAACAAAAATCTCCATGGGGTATATCACCGGTCATCTATACAACAGCACACGTTATATGCCAAATTCAGTGCTCCAGAACGTAGGACAGTGGTAAAAGCACACGGTAAAAGCTTCAGAAACAGGGGTTAAATAAGGGAATAAATACACTTCCAAAGAGGTTTTTTCTTTTCTTTTTTTTTTCACCAGACTGAGCTGCCAATCTGACCACAAGTTAACTTATTTGGGAAGGTCACCTCATTCTCTGTATTTCAACACCCTCATCTGTCCTGAAGCTCCTCAGAAAAGAATACGATTGGCTGAGAAGCTTCTATGACCAACTCTACAGCTACTCCACTTTAAGTACCAAGTTCAAAATCTTCCCATTGCTATTAACCACATAGCTTCACAGTAAGCCTAAGACACCAGCAGCGCCCTGCTCCCTCCCACTGCTTCTCCTTTCTACATACTGAGACCAGGGCTCAACAAACTTTTTCTGTAAAGAACCAGCAATAAGTATTTTCAGCTTCGCAGGCTATACGGGCCCCGTCAGAACTACTCAACTTTGCCACCACAGGGCCACAGCAACCATCGATAACGTGCAAACGAATGAGTGCAGCTATGTTCTAATACAACTTGATTCATGAGCTAACATCTGAATTTCATATTATTTTCATGTGTCTTGAAACATTTGATTTTTTTTTGTTTAAACCACTTAAAAATGTAAAAACCTAGCTGCAGGGCTGTAAAGAACAGGTGGGAGGTTGCGTTTCCATGTGACTCAGGTCTTTCCCTCTGGTACTACTTTGGTGCAGGTGAGAAGCTGGAAAGAAGAGCTGAATAGTACTTTCTGGAAAAAGGTTCTACAGGATCAGCTGACTGACTTCTCTACTCTCTTCTGTCTTGCCTCCATTTTTAACTTAGAAATAATCTGAAATTAGACCCGTTGAGCTAGCAAAGACTAGAGAATGCACTTGCTAACATCTAATGCTAACAGTGCAGACGGATAAAAAGTTATTCACCTCTTTAAATAGTTAAAGTCCTCTCATTATAGAGAAATAACCAATTTTAGTTGAAACACAGTTCTACGCCTTCCCGCCATTCCTGACTCAAAAGTTGTTGCCTAAATGAATGCCATGCAAATAGAAGCAGTGAACTATTGGTTTTCATTTATAAGAACGGCCTGGAGGCGGGGGCTGGGGGGGGCGCACTATGAAAAAGATTAACAATACTCGCTTTGAAAAGCTAGGAAAAAATATGTACTTTTGGTGGTTATGTAAATTAGTGCAATCCTTCTGGAGGTCTGTTAGCAAAATTCACCAGAGATTAAAATGTACATAACTTTGGACTTAATAATTATACTTCCAGGATTTATCTTAAGAAGATAATCAGACAAGTGAGCACACATACATATAACAGTGAGTTTCATATTCGGAAGAACTGTTAATATCATTAAGAGATTAAAACTATTTAAATGTTCAACTGGTTAAACAGTGGAAGGAATGCAATGGAATTCTAGGGGGCCATAAGAAATAATTACGTAGATGAAACGATCTGACACGGATATGTCTACAGCACACTGAAAGAGAAAAGCACGTTACAAAACTGCATGTGCTGTTTGATCTCAATTGCATGAAGTGTCTATATATGGTGTTTGTATATGCACCAGCGTACGTAAGAGACAGAAGAAAAACAGAGACACAGAAGCAGAGACTTAGAAGAATGTTGACCAAAATATTCACAGATGATTTTTACTTTCTTGTTTATAGTTTTCGGTATTGTTTACATTACTTTACAATGAGCATGTATTACATTTATAATTTAAAAAAGACTTATTAGAATGTACACCAAGAATGAACCCTAGTGAAAACTATGAACTTTAAGTGATAATGATGCGTAAGTGCAGGTCCATCGAATGTCTAACAAGTGCACCACTCTGCTGCGATAGCGGAGGGAGGTGGCGGTGTGCGGAATTCTCTGTACCTTCTGCTCAATTTTGCTGTGAACCTGCTCTAAAAAAAACCATAAAACTGCTCTAAAAAATAAAGTCTATTAAAAAAAATTATCAGAACAATTCACAAGCAAACAACTCAGAAGTTCATCTCATGGGAAGCGATCTGAGACCCATGGAAGTGAATCTGAAAGGCTTTTGTCAGAAGCGGTTAGAATACTGCAGATTGCTCAGCATGAGGGGGTGGGGGGTACTCACAGCAAGTATTACACACGGAGTCCAGCAGTTAAGCTGGCTAGCAAGCAATTCCTCTCCAGAAATTGCTCAAAGAATGCTCTCCTCTTAGTAGAACCTGACTGTTTCGTGCATTCACCCTGAGGATATTTGACTGTTTCTCTCCTGTTGTTTCTGATTTAATGGAATGTTTTCAGTGAAAGCTTAGAGGACTTAAGACTGCGTTAGATAATCAAGGGCTCAAGAAAAGCAATTTAACACTTTGTCTTAGATTAGCTTTAAAATGGAGCTCTAGCTGGGGCAAGAGACCAGGCTGCTAAAAGATAAGCCAGTCTTAAGGGGCTTTAATGGAAGAACAAATGCCAAGATGAGATTTTAATGATAAGCAGTTTGTTACGTTAATAAGAGGCATTCTGAGGCAAGTCTGAGGCTAACACCAAGGTTGGAATAAATTAATGGGGATATTCTAAATTTTATTTGGTGTTTCTTTTCCTTTAGAATATATACATTCTAACTGATGCTTCCTATCCTTTGCCTCATGCATACTTCCATATACATGTCAGATGTATCTACTTTTAACAGAGCAGAAGGCTTACAGGTTTCTGTATGGAATACATACCTTGTAGTCTGAACTATCTGAATGATATCCAGTTGTTTTTTTAATCGCAAGAAGGAAAAGCCAGCCTTGACAAGAACTAAATCTTTAAATCTAACAAGACCGGGCAATGTCATAAGATTCACCAACTGTAGTGGTATACCAGTCGAGTACCTTAAGTTAACAACACAGTATTAATGCGTTTATAAGTAGAAGTCAAATCCCTAATAGGTCATGACTCCAAATTACAACATTCGTCAAGCTGAGTATAAACCTATATACTACATATGAATTTCAATACAAATGAAGCTTAATCTACAACAGACGCTATTAATAATTTACGTACTATGCCCCAAAATCTCCAATTGCTATGTTGGGTAAAATAGGTACAATAAACTTAGGTGTAATATTAATATTCATGACATTTGTTCAAGCTTAGCATTATACACACAGAACTAGACAATGCATTTCCTAGTTTCCAGACATTATCCTCACTAAGATTAGTGCTAACCTGGTGGAACATATTTGTTAGTTTCCCTTGGGAAATTTCTAAAATTAAAAGTACCATTTATTTGGGGGCATAATTTTGTGGTCAAGACATTTTTAATCATTCAAGCGTTATCTTGAGTAATTAGTATCATTTTCTGGCTGGGCAGTTCTACAAATACAGCACTCTTTTACTTCAGAAGTAGTGAAAAAGCATACTGTGATTATTTTCATGCTAAATCCTCATTTCCGAAAGCCCCTTGGGTTAACTGTCATCAGATTTATTGTAAGGGATTCACAACAAACTCAAAATTACTGGAAGAAACTGTAGGAATCTTCAAGTTAAGAAACACTGCTGGTCACACTGAGAACAGCAGCAACATACCTCAGATGTACAAGTGTCACAGAACTTCTTGATGGAAAGTATCCAGACATTTCCTAGGCAGATTTTATTTTTAGGCCTGTGTATGTTTACATGTGAAACAGATGTGAGTCAATTTAAGACCATCTGATAGAAACGCTTTTCTAACCACTGAAAACCTTCACTTGTCTTGAAAAGGAGTCACACCAACTGAGATCCTATCAGAACGTAAGGAGCTTCCCCAGAGCACGTGATCTGAACTAAATGCTGAATTTGCATGCAGTGCTCCAGGAAACAGTAACAACCTGCTTTATCTTCATGGCCATCTTAATGAGGTATTTTTTATTAACCCCATTTTTAAATTGAGGGTTTTGGGGCCCAGAGGTTAAGTACCCAGAGAGTCACCAAGCTAAAGGTAGGATCTGAAGCCAGGCAATCCAATGAAACACGTTTAAATGCCTCACTGTCAGGCAGGAGACATGGGTTCTGGTTCTGCACCAACACCACTCTCAACGGGGAGAAGCACTGCACCTCTGCCCTCGACAGCTTCACCTCTGTAAGGAATATGCTAATGCTCTGCGCAGTCTTCCAGCATCCTTGTGAGGACATGAAATAAACAAAATTAAAGCCTTCTGAGGAGCCCAAAGCACTATATAAATGTGCCATGTGCTAAATATATCTGAATATTCCAGCAACACAGTTTATTTTCTAAAACACAGAGAAGACCCTAACAGTGTTTTATTTGTGGCCACCACGGAGTGTCTTTTACAGTATCTGTTTGGAAGCCTGTAAAGTGACAGACCAAAGTCTCGGCTGTCATGCAAAATACCCTGAACAAGGTAATACAAAAAGGGGATTTGACATTTATTGTTGAGGACAGCCAAGCAGCTTCAAAAGACAAATGTAAACAGCAGCTGTGTCCAAAGAAACACATTTTCTCTTTAATAAAAATACTCTTGAGGGGCGCCTGGGTGGTTCAGTCGGTTGAGCACCCAACTCTTGGTTTTGGCTCAGGTCATGATCTCGGAGTTGTGGGATCAAGCCCCAGGTCAGCTCCTGGCTCAGCAGGGAGTCTGCTTCCCTTCTCCCTCTCCCTCTGCCCTTCTTCCCCTCACACACACTTTCTCCCTAAAATAAATAAATCTTTAAAAAATATATATTCTTCACGTCTCGACCTTTTGGCTAAGATCAAGTGTAGTAAAAAATATACATTCTTGATGTTGAAGATGACTTGTAATTTCAAAATGTCAAATCCTGAGAGAATAGAATGATTTCTTAAAACATGTACAGAACGTTGATAAACAAAAAGCCAGAATTCTTTCTTACCTCCCACATGTACACATTATTCTTAACCTGAGATCTTTTTTTCTTATCACCAACAAATGGCCCAAACTTTTTGCCTTTTAAAATTGGTTTAGTGGCCCAGACACCTGGAAAATAAAACCAATATTTTCATAATGTTATTGTGGTTATTTTAAAGATTGAAGCATTAAAGTGAACTCTGTTTCACAAAAAAGTTAAAAAGCTAGCAAGATAATGTTAGATCAATGGAGAGCAAGTGAAGTCAAATGAAATCAAGTCTTCCACGAAGATTTTTATTTTTCTTCTTTATATTCTTCTGTAGTCCCCAAATAGTCTGTAAAGAACCTCTGTTTTGTAAGTAGGAAAGAAATGTTTTGTATTTGTTTCTATTTTTTACATGTAGAATTACCCAGATGGTACAATCACAAATACCCGGAGAAGAGCACAATCACAACTAAAGAGAAAAAAGATGAGAAAGGAGTGAAACTAGAAATGATTTTAAACTCTTCTCCTCTTTCTACTTTTCTGCAGATTTCAAATGGTCTCCAATGAAAATGAACTGCTTTTATAAAGGCTTGGAAATGCCGATTTGTGAATGGTATTTTTAAAGTTTGTTTGCTCAAAGTGGAAGCCCCTCTCCTCCCCAGCTAAGTCTCCTGAAACCTTAGCTGCTATAACAACTCACTTGGCAGAACTTCAAACAGCCCAGAGTCACACGTGCCACTGCTCTGCTGTATTCCTCGGCCGTTTCTGGGCTCTGGGCACTGACCAGAGGGCAGGCACAGAGGCTGAAGAAGCAACGGGCAAAATGGCGGGAGACAGCCCTGGAGTCAAGGAACCAGCACCCAGAGGTGACGCTCACTGGCAAAAACCCCTCTGGACAAGTTCCCTCATCTTCTGCTCTCAGAAGATGCACAGAAGGAAAGTGGAGGCTGAGCCAGTCCTGTCCAGCTAGGAGGTTCAAATTTCACTCTTCTGTAGGTCTATGAATCCAATTTGATAACAGAGCTAATAATCAAATAGTGGAGCTCTACAATCAACCACTTTCATGTGAATGATGCAATGTAAGTGCTCAAGTGACTTACTGAAAAATTTTCCGATGAGAATTAGGAAAAGCATTTATTAACGATTTATTCACACACACATACACATAAGCTGGAATATCAGAAATACATCTTAAAAAAACAAAAAGGGATACAAAGATGATATATTCCAAAACTGTACTTTGACTAAATTTTTATAATTCACTGCCTTATTAGCCTTCTGTCTAAAGATTAGGGCACAAAAACAAGACCAAATACATAAAAGCTGGGTTTGCATTCGATGAGAAAATCCAGCCAGAAGCATTCAGGGACACTCAGGTCGTCATTCATTCAAGTACCGTACCACTGAGGTCCAGGACATGTCAGGTACTGGAGAGAGAGGTAAGTAAGAAATGAAGGCACACACAGGCAATAAAAGGGGCAGATGTGAAAACAAAGACAAAATAATGGAATTAAATATAGCAGCATACTCACGCTCAAGTCCCAGTGAAATCAGAGAGGAGGGAACAATACACTGAGTAGGAAGAGGCCCGAGGAGACAGTGGGAGGGAACACTCAGGCTAAGTCACAAAGGATGGTAAGTGGGCGTAAGTGGGCGTGGGGGTATTTCCGCTTTAGTTTTATAGTCTATGTCCACCCTGGATTCTTGACTGGAAAATGCAGAAATTCCACATAATCTTCTAAGTCTAAGTGTAAATCTGTCGCTTTGATGATGAGCTGCCTACCTTAAACGCTCCCAAAGGATGCCTGGATAAAGGCGGCTCTCCCATCCCCTCCCCGTCTCCTTCTGGGACCCTGGTCCTCACCAATCCGAGTCTTGTCAACAGCAGATGGGAAAAGCCTCACTTCCTCTGGAAGTCCTCGAAGCACATGTTCGGGTACCTCAGCCAGGCTCTCAGCAGCTGCAACAGGCTCAGTGTTCTGCAAATCAAGAAACAGAAGGATCAGAGCAGAGGGAAGGAAACCCAGTTAGCGTTTTTTTCTTTTCTGGTCCAATAAGCAAATATGCAAAACTGTAACTGAAACCTGAAGCTGGCAAGCCAGACCAAGACGACCGTGCTGTGGAGCATCTCAGGAGCTGCTGGGATGGCTGTTTGTGAGTCTCCAAAGGAAACTACTGCCACCTTCAAGCATGTCTGTGTTAATCTATTTTGTTCCAGCCACCTGTAGTCATTCTCAAAATATGTAAATATCTGGCACCATACTATTTTAAACTCCCACAGAATCTGGAAGTACAATACAGCTTAAGCTTACTTTTAAGTCAAAGGCTACCATCAGCATTTTGGAACATTTAAAAAATAAAAACCAACCCTCCCTACTTAAAAGAATACTTTCGGCACGCACTGTAAAGGACCTCTCACCCCAACTGTGCTTTCATCCCCCCAGCAACAACACCCCCTTTAACAGGGGCTTGAATATTCCAACCAGAACACTACAACTTTCTCTGGGCCCTCAATGGAAATGTGACCTCTCCAGGAAACCGTAATTTACCACTTGTATCAAGTCACTAATTAGCAAAGTCGGCAGAATATCACAGTCTTAAGAAACAGAATTTTATACATTACTAACCAGTTTTCACTTTAATCTTAAGAAATAAGATTACTATTAGGTATGAATATAAGGGAACCGAAAGGGGAAATCTGAGCCAACTGGTAAAACATGACTATTATTTTAAAATTAACATTCAGGGCGCCTGGGTGGCTCAGTTGGTTAAGCGACTGCCTTCGGCTCAGGTCATGATCCTGGAGTCCCGGGGACTCGCATCGGACTCCCTGCTGCTCAGCAGGGAGTCTGCTTCTCCCTCTGACCCTCCCCCCTCTCATGTGCTCTCTCTCTCTCTCTCATTCTCGCTCTCTCAAATAAATAAATAAATAAAATCTTTAAAAAATAAAAAAATAAAATAAAATTAACATCCAATCAAAGGAAAATCAAGTATCTTTTAATTCTTATCCCATATACCCCAAAGAACTGATGTGCATATCACAACACCACTAAGAACGATCGGTTCTATAGTCTAGGTGTTTTTTATTTCACTGCAAGGGAATCATTTCTCAAGGACTTTCAAAGAAAGCAAAGTAGGCAAAAAGCAAACTCTAACCCTAAAGAGGTTAATTTTCCTACAATGAAGCTCTTACAGATCTAAGAATATTTTGTGTAAAGATGAGAATATCATCCTAATTTGTGTACTCCCAACATTTTGCTTTTTTTCTTTTTTTAGTATCAGTAGGCTGCTTCAAGAGAAATAAATCCCATGGCAATGAGCAACTCATTATGAAAGTCTGCTCTCTGGTCTGCTCTGAGCTGGAATGCGCACAAGTGGGCATCTACAGACTGAGATTCATTTCTCCAACAGGGCAAAACCGACTGGACACCCTTCAGAAGCACAAATGCTTTGATCCTGCTGGATCTACAGCTTGGTCCTGACAATGTCACCAAGCACAAGTTAAATGCCTCCGAAAACATGGGAATATCAAAACTGCCCCCAGAAAATGGGTCTTATGGTATTTTTAATTAGCTAAAATGTGAATAAATTTAGCACACAAATGTCTCACTTTTAAATATAGTACCTCCATTTTTAAAACTTTAATCTATAAATGGTTTTTTTGGCAACATGAATAATTTTTTTTCCAATGGAGGAAAAGGTATTAAATTGGTAGTCGGTATCCTAGGCTACATAGTAATTAAACACTGATAAATTAAGCAATATTAAGATGTACTTAGCCAAAACTCCGAATCCTATCAGCACGTGCCCATTAAAAAGCAGAGTGAGGGAGTTTTCTTCTCCTTCCTCAGATGAGACCTTATTCTAAGATTTAAAAGGATTTGACACCATTTAACTTCCCCAAGAGCTCTGAAAAGACAGTGTGTCAGCTACTCTAACCGATCCTTCCAGGCACTAGGACTAACAAGCTAATATTTCCTTGGGGCCTCAGTGCAAGGCACTGTACTAACAGTCTTCCACGCATGATGGCATTTACTCCAAACAGCGCAAGGGGCAGGGACTGGCACTGCAGCCCCCACCCCCGGCTTCCCCCCAACCCTCACCATCCCCCAACACACACACACAATGAAAGAAACTGAAGCTTAGGGAAGTTGTCTAAATTGCTCAAGGTCAGGATGTGAACCTCTGTCTGTCTGACCCTGAGCCCAAGTTCATAACCACTGCACCATTTCCAGTTAAGATTCTCCTGGATATGGTCTGAGAATCTAATGTAAAACATGGTTAACTATAGTTGATAGCACCGTATTATAGCATTGAAATTTTCTAAGAGAGTAGAACTTAGATGTTCTCACCAAAGAAGATAAATATGAGAGATGATGGATGTGTTAATTAACTAGATGGTTGCATATATTGAAATACCATGACATACACTTTAAATATCTTATAATTTGTCAATTATACCTCAATAAAGCTAGAAAAAAAATATCCTGCGGAATATAATCTGAGAACCTGTGCCCTAAAACCTCCAAACTTCCATAGAAGTGTCAGAAGGAGATGGCTGACATTCCCACAGGCAATTTGTAACTTGAGGGTAATATGGAGACCACGTACGTTTACATTTCTGATACACCTATGAATATAAAAGACCTCAGCAGCGCTGCCACTGGAAAAAGATCGGACAAATTCCTGTGCATTTATTTACCTGCTTTCAGTGAGCCCATGTTTTTAAATTTGGACTCATTTAACTAGTGGAAGAAAGCTTTTTTCTGTTTATGTTAGTATCCTTCGCATAAGACAACTAAAATTCAAGGACCTCAAACCACACCAAGTCAACCCTGGCCAGCTGCAGGAATTTCCTCTCCCCTTTCCAGCAGCAGTGCCTATGGCTGGAAACTGCCTCTCCTTTTCCTTATTTTTCCTTCACAGCTCTTACCACAATTTTAAGTAATTATTTATATAATTATGTGTTTAATGTACCGCCCCTGATAAACTACAATGAAGACAGATGGCGTCTATCTTATTCAATGTTGCATTCCCAATGTTTAGCAGTAGACATGACATGTTTGGTGTCACTTAAATACTTGAATGAATACACAATTCTTGTAAAGGGACTTAATCTTTTTTTAGAAAAAGGAAGGCTAGAAATAAACAAAATAGCAGGGTCATCAATCAGAAAGCATTTTTTCCATGTGTGCCTGAATTTCTTGAATTTGAGGTAGGCATATTTCTAGGTCAATAAAAGAATTCCTTTTTAGACAATGTGATATATGCTCTCAATTCCAAGCAGCCAATTTACAAGTAAATCTTTGGAAGAAAAGAATTTTTAAGAGAAGATTTCTCTCCCCCACACACTTACAAACTGGGATCTCATTTACACACACACACACACACACACACACACACATATATATGAATACCCTTATAATATTAGATATAATATCATACTCTAAACAAGGTCATCTTGGTTCTTACACTAAAGATCACAATTTGATCCTGGGAATATTCCCCAGATTAATTTTTTTCTAAAAGAAATTGTAGCATCTACTCAATTTCTGAGTGCCTTCAACGGGCCAGGCAATGTTTTAAGCAACTCATTTGCCTTAACAATGTGTCGCTCTAGGATGGACTCTGAAAAACAAACTGAGGGTTCTAGAGGGGAGGGGGGTGGAGGGATGGGTTAGCCTGGTGATGGGTATTAAAGAGGGCACGTTCTGCGTGGAGCACTGGGTGTTATGCACAAACAATGAATCATGGAACACTGCATCAAAAACTAATGATGTAATGTATGGTGATTAACATAACAATAAAAATTTAAAGAAAAAAACAATGTGTCACTCTAGTGAGGAAGACAGACAAAATCAAGCAAGGATATATAATGCCTGGTACTTATTGATGCTCTGAAGAAAACTCAAGCACAAGAAGGGGACAGTGATGCAGATGTAAAGGGTGCTATTTTAGACAGACAGAGTGCTTCCAGAAGACCTCTCTAGAAATGGGAAGGGCATTGTGTGAGAGTATGGAGGGCAAACACGCCCAGAAAGGTAATCAGCAAGGGCACTGGTAATCCAGCAAGCTCGGTGTGCTCAGAGAACAGACAGGCAAAAAAGACCAATCTGTCTGGGGCAGAGAAGGTGAGGGAAAAGCAGATGGAGCTGAGGTAGGAGAGGAAGGCAGGGAAGTGCCTGAGAAGTCAATCACCTGCTGAACTGCACAGACTATGAGGAGTAGAAGGTGACCAACCAGAGGCCAAACTGCAAGCTCCACGAAGGAACCTTGGCTGCTCCTTCCTCTGGGGTGGCCAACAGCCCACCAGCACCCCATCCTTGCTATTCCGAAATAAAGGCACGTTCCCATTTCAAGGGTTTCTGACACTGATCACTGTGGTAAGCACAGAGGACATTACAAGGACTTCTCTGCTTTCCTTTTATGTAACAGGAAACATAAGAACTCGTTATTTCACTGCTCAGTGAAGTATAGCCTCCAAACACATATCAGTGAACTGATCTGGAGCAGCGTAGGTTAAATCTAATGTATTAAATTTAAGCTAATTTAGTAAGTTACTCAGTTATTATCAGTTGATCTTCATTAAATCAATGTCTCCAACTTCCTAACTCAAACTCAGAGAAAGTCAATACCCCCTTCCCTCGCCTCCCCTCCCCAACTCATGGCCAGGAGCAGTTGTCTTTCATTCATCCAGTCCCTCCCTCGATCACTAACAAACATTCCCTGAGAGTCAGCTCCAGGCTGGCACTGCGCTGGGCAGTGAAGATATGATGGTGAATAAAGCTGATCCAGGCCCCCTCCTCACGGAGCTCTTTAGACAAACTCTCTTCTCCTTTCCCTAATACCTAATACCTTCCCTTTGGCCCTGGATGACCTCCCTAGGCTGGATGGTGGGAGCACCTTCAGGAGCAGGACAATTTACTCCTTCCTCTGAGCCAAGCTCTGGGCTAACCATCTTTCCTGTCTTACCTCACAA